GGAGGGACGGGTCCTTGGAGAGGGACATCATGCTTGGGAGGGTGGAGGGACAGCGCAGGAGGGGAAGACCCTCTATGAGACGGATTGATTCAGTGACTGGGGTAATCGGGATGGGTGTGTGTGTCAGAGGCAATGCGATTGGCACAGAATAGAGCAGGGATTAGGGCTGAGTCGCAGATGATTTGACGGCACATAACAACAACAACAAATTCATATTTTTCCTGATTGTGAACCACGCAGTGTTCCCGTGCTCTGTTCGCAGCACAGCCGGTGGTGGATTCGAACCGCGGATGGCAGTGTGGCTCCTTACCACCGGGCCGCCAGAGCTCCTAAAGCCGAGTTTCCCGTCTTCTCTTTGACATTTAAAGTGAACGGAGCCCCCGGCTCTCGGCCGCCCCGCGCGCCCCCTGCCGGCCGCCGGCGTCCCTGCCTCTGGCCCGCGGTGCCACGCCGACAGCGGCCCCCCACTCCCCTTCCGGGACCCGCACTTCTCGTCCCCGGTGTCGGGCCGTTCCCCGCGGACTCAGACACAGCCCTACCTGCCGGCTCCGCTCGCTGGGCCGGAAATCCTATTCCTACGCGGCCAAGCGGCCTCGGCCGGCGCCCACCGCGCGGAACCCGAGCGGGACGCAGTTTCCAGCCGGACGCGCCGAGAAGAGCACTTCCGGAGGGTGGAGCGCGCGGGTCGAGCCGCGTGTGGGCGGTGCGCGGGGTCGTTTCCGGGCGAAGCGGCGCGCTCCTTCCGGCCGCGGAGCGAGGGGCGGCAGCCGGGCGGAGGTCGGTGCAGGCGCGGGCGCGGGCGCTCGGCCCGGCGAGGGAACGGTCCTCGCCCTCGGGGTGAGTGTCGGTGTCCGCGGGCGGCGCCGGGATGGCGAAGGCCCCGGCCCCCGCGCGCGCGCCCAGCAGCCCCGCCACCAAACCAGGGGTCGTGAAGAAGCGCAGTCGGAGGAAGAACAAGGGCCGGTTCTGGAAGAGCAAGGCGCAGGACGCGGGCACCCCGGAGCGCACCCCCAAACCCGCCGTGAGGCCCCCGACGGCTCCCGGAGAGTTCTCCCAGAACTGGAAGGCGCTGCAGGAGGTGGGACGCGCGGGCCCCGGCGGGTGGGCGCCCCGCGTGTGTCCGGGGCCGCAGAGCGCGGAGAGCCGGCAGGGTCCCCGCGGACGGGGTGGGGGTCCCGGCGGACAGGGGTCCCCGCGGACGGGGCGGGGGTCCCGGCGGAGAGGGCGGGGGTCCCGGCACCGAGGGTTCCCCCGCTCATCGCGGCCCCGCGGGACCTTCCCATGCGTTTCCCACGCTGTCAGCGTTTCCCACGCTGTCAGCTGTCATCTTGACTGACACCGCCGCAGCTGGGCGAAGCCGAACCCCCGGCTCCAGGGCGCCTTGTTCTTGCTCGCCTTCGGGTTTTTAGTAGATGATTGCTGACTTGGCATCATTTGTCGGGCTGCTGCGATGTGGATGTCACATGAACAGCCTCCGACTGGGTTGCGTTAGGAGCGAGTTGTGCTCATAGGTGCCCCTTCCCGGCTGTTTCCACCCGGCAGCAGCTCCGAGGGAGATGGACAGCCTCCTCCCGGGTGACTTACACTCTGCAAAAGTCCCACGGGAAGGTCAGCTGTGAATCAGTCGGACTTGATGGCCGTCATTTCGAGTGTGGCTGCTGACTTGTAGAGAGCAGAGGTGAACAAGCTGAGACTTCATCTCTCATACTTTGGACGTGCTCTGAGAAGGACACCGTGCTTTCTAGAGGGCTCTGGAAGGAAAGCGTGACTGTCGACCAGATGGACTAGCCCAGAGGTTCCGGGAATGATTGTAAGGACCGTGCAGGACTGGACGGTGTCCTGTCTTATGGGGGCCACTGTGAGTCAGAACCCCTCCAGTAGCCCCTGACAGCCAGGGGCACCGTTTCCTAGTTTCCTAGTCACTGCAACGAGTCAGCAAGCACACTGGAGCTGCCCTGCACCCTGCTTCCTGGGGTCTCGCGGCATCTCACCTGGTCTCTGCTTTGACGGCCTTGGAGAAAGATGGCTACTTGCCTCATCTCCCTGTGACCTGCGGAATGGCCAGAAGGCTCAAGTCTGTGCCCTTGGCCTCAGCGAGTTATGGGGGAGATGGAACCAACTTCCCGAGCTTCTCGGTAGTGTCCCTGCCTTGACCACGGGACCAGGAGGGCATCCCCGTAGTCACATCCTAAGGGCAGCCCCAACTGAAACGTTGGCCCACGGCCATGGAGTCCGGCTCGTGGGGGTCTTCTGCAGGATTTTCAAGCCTTGTCTTGTCCCTCCGGGGGCTGATGGGTTTTGATCATGCACGTGTTGGTTAGCCGTCCACCATGAAACACTGCACCCCCAGGCCTCCCCCTGGGCAGCACCCCCAGGCCTCCCCGTGGGCAGCACCCCCAGGCCTCCCCGTGGGCAGCTCCACCAGGCCTCCCCGTGGGCAGCCCCAGTCTCTCTGCTCTGGGTCGTAGCTGTACCCCCACCTCTTCCAGGAATGGGAGTTGAGAGGGGTGTCTGCTGTAGGGAAGCCCTAACTCTTCCTCATTCACTGAACGTAGTACCCTGTAACTCGTAACCCTTTCTTGGCTTGTCTGCCTTTGGCTTTCCTGGGAAGCTGCTGCCCTTTGGGGGCCGTATAACTGTGACCCCTGGCACCAGAGACCTTCAGAGGTCTCCTTCCCACTAAGTGTGCCAGAGGGGCTCTGGGCGCCTACAAGATCCAGAGTTGTGTTACCCACCCTGTACTTGTTATGTGGCAGTCTGTAGCCTGTGTGTCAAAATCCGTCTTCTGTCATTGCCATGGAGTCGCCGTGGCTGACCCTCCAGTGAGTTTTCTGAGGCTGTAAATCTCAGACAGCTGCCCGTCTTGCTCCTGGGGGGCTCCTGTGGATTTGACCCTCCAGTGAGGTGCGGCCCCTGGGTTAGCACAGCTGCTGCCTGGAGACCAGGCCACCAGAGCTCCTGAACCGGTACTGCTTCAGAAAGTGTTTCTCCGTCTTAGCCAGATTGCTGCTTTTACTGAAAACACAGGGTTTTCGTTAAAAAGAGTGGAATATGTTTCGACCCTGAAGGGGTTACGGGCGCAGTGGGAGGGTCAGGTGCTCGGACGCCCCCAGGCTGGGATTTTAGAGGAGGCATGTGGCTCGGAGACCTCGTCCCTCCTGGGAGGACAGCCAGGCTGTAACGGGTGTGTGGTCACCCATCACTGCAGAAGCTCCTTTCCCTCTCTGTGCCCCTCTCTCCAAGATCCTCACAGTAGACACGACCCTAAAACTCTTGAAAGGCCATGGCCGCTGGGCGGCATGCAGCTCTGACTCACAGAGTCAGAGTCAGAGCAGTTCACTGGGGATGGTTAACGTGTGCAGCCGCTAATGGAGAGGCTGGGAGTTCTGCTCCGGCGTCAGGCGCCTGGCATGAGAGGCCTGGACATCTCCAGAGGAATCGGCCCGAGAAGCAGGAAGCAGCCTGCAGGGTCTGCAGAGCGTTGGGGTGGGGACTTGAGTGGGCCCTCGTCTGCTCCTTGTAGATGCCACGTGACACAGCGCCTTCCTGAGCGCCTCCCAGGTCCCTCCAACATTGTGGAGGGCGGTGATTAACCACCGAAGACTATGCTTGATCACGGGGTTGACTGAGGCCTTTCTTCTCGTTTCCTGCAGCTGCTGAGACAGAAACCGCAGACCCCAGAGAAGCCCCTTGGCCCTCGGACGGATGCCAGAAAGCAGCTCCACGCGCCCCAGCCAGCCAGACACTGGGCCTCAGGTCCAGCAAAGGGAGACGGCGTCCCGGGGACCAGCAAGAGTTCTGAGTCAGCGGGGTCCCTGACGGCCAGGAAGGGGCCGGCACCTCCCAGTAAGGCCACTGGAGCAGAGAACAAGAAGAAGGGGACTGCAGAAAGGACAAATGGTCACGTGTCCCCAATGCCAGGGGACTTCAAGCATAAGAAGCGAAAAGCTGAGGCCGCTATACCAGCCCCACCCGCTGAGTGAGTGTCTGCTCTCTGTCCTTGTGGAACGGTCACTGAGTGGTCTCCTGTGGCTGGCTGGGAGGCCTCCATCTCCCTGCCCCGGGGTCTGTCCACTATTGACCATGGTGTTTCCGCCAGGACGTTGGCATGTGGGGGGCAGGGCTGGTGACTTCAGGACCCAGAACAGCCGGCCTCCAGCGGCCCCCACAGTCTGCAGGATGAGCAGGTGCCCATGCCGGGCACCTCAACTGCTGTTTGCTTCTTGCCATTAGGCAGTCTGGGCAGGAAGTCCTCTGAGCCTGGGTGGCCGCCAGGAACATGCTGTAAGGACAGGTGCTGTGTGGGGTGCTACTGCCGAGCCCCAAGCTCATGGGGGACCTGCAGTTGGCGGGCTTCAGAGGCTCAGCTCCAGGTGGGGCATTTTTAAGTCAGACTGGCTGTTGTCACAGGGTTACAGGTGACCTGGGCGGGGGTGGGTGTTAGAGTGGCTGTTGTTACAGGTGACCTGACGGGGGGCAGAGTTACAGGTGATCTGGGCGGGGGTGGGTGTTAGAGTGGCTGTTGTTACAGGTGACCTGACGGGGGGGCAGAGTGGCTGTGTGTCACAGGGTTGCAGACACAGGTGACCTGATGGGAGCAGAGGTGGGGAGTGTCCGATCAGAGCAGGCTCAGAGGACGTGAAAGACAGGCTTCGCAGGAAGGTGTTAGATGGTGCAGGCACCAAGGGCTGGCTGACCAGGGTGTGATGGGCTGACCAGGTCATAGTGGACACTAAGGGGGACTGAACGGGACGTGGGCTGCTGACTGGGGCGTGTGGTCAGCGTGCCTCACAGGGCTTGGACATATTTGTATTTCTGCGGCTCTGTTTGAACTCTTGTTTATTGTGTTTGTGGGGAGGTCCACACAGCAGTTGAGCTTCTCACGCAGCAGCATCGACAGGACTTGTTCAGTGACTTTGCTGGCGTTTCTCACGGCTTTGTTCTGGTTGGCCCATTTCCTTTCATCTAGTCTCCCCAGCTTCATACCTTCTCCCCTTTAATTTCAAGTTCTCGTTGTCCCTGGTCTCCCTTCAGTGAGGGGCACATGCTCACTGGTGCTCAGTGATACCTGCTGTATCTGAATGTGCTCGTGAGGGGACACCTTCGTAACAAGAGGGGACTGACGGGCATCACAGCTAGGTGCTCGGGCATGGATTCTGTCTCCACCTGCACCCCACACACCTGTGATGACAGGTGGACTCTGCTCAGAGAGCAGCACGTTTGAGGAGAGAGTGTGGTCAGAGGGGCACTGTCCAGGAGCTGCTGGTTGTCAGGACCCCTGGGTCCTGGGGGTCACCTCTCCTCATCGGCTTTCATCAGTGCCCAGTGAGGTCCACACGCTCCTGTCTGTTTTGCAGGGACGACATCTGGTTTGACGACGTTGACCCAGAGGATATCGAGGCCGCCATAGGGCCAGAGGCCGCCAACGTAGTGAGGAGGAGGCTGGGTCAGCACCAGAACAGCATCACCCTCGTGAAGGAGCAGGGCTTCGGCGGGTGCGTGGGGCGCCAGGCAGCGGGGGCTACACAAGAGAAGGCCAGTGCTGGCCCGTCACCCTAGGATTACAGTGCTGCTGCCTCCTCGCGCCCAGGGTTTCTGACTGATGCCTTTGGTCCACAGCCTGACCAGAGCCCTGGCCCTGGACTGCGAGATGGTGGGCGTGGGCCCCAAGGGAGAGGAGAGCGTCGCTGCCCGTGTGTCCATTGTGAACCAGTACGGCAAGTGTGTTTACGACAAGTACATCCAGCCAGCGGAGCCTGTGACAGACTACCGGACGGCAGTCAGTGGGATCCGGCCGGAGGACCTCAGGCGGGGTGCGTCATGGGCTGGGGGGCGGTCAGCAGTGGGCAGGTCTGCCCCCTCGCCATCTCTTCCTGACGCCCCACGCCTCCTCGGGTCACTGGAGTCCTTCAGACAAACCAGGGCCCTTGAGTGGCTTCACTGCTCCCAGCACAGGGCCTGGGTGGGGGGAGACCTGGAGAACAGATCTGGGTGCTGGGAGGGTGTGGGCACACTGGCCAGCCCTTCACTCACACGGAGTGCCTGGCTGGCGGGCACTCCCGGACCCCATGGCTCCGGGGCACCTCTGAAGCGTTCCTCTGGTTTCCAGGAGAAGAGCTGGCCGTCGTCCAGAAGGAGGTGGCTGAGATGCTGAAGGGCAGGATTCTAGTGGGACACGCTCTGCACAATGACTTGAAGGTCCTGCTGGGGGTGGGGCGTCGGGCCGGCTCTCCCTGTGGCAGCCATATTCCCGGCCAGGTCACACAGTGCCATGGGGGGACTCCGAGGCTTTAGAACCCACGCTCACTCCCAAGTCATGGTTCCCATGGGAAACCCCTGATGCCACCCTCTGACCTCATCCTCTGACCCCAGGAGCGCATTCCTGCAGTAAATCCCCTCAGGAGGGACTGGCTCACCCCACCTCGTGTTGGAGCAGAGAAGAAGGGCCTGGCCAGGCCAAGCCTTCTTAGTTTGGGGGCAACAGGGACTTGTGTGTGGGTTTCCCACCGCAAGGTATGTCACTGTCGGAAAGTCCCCGGTGTTCTAAGACAGCACAGATGGTAAACCGAGGCACCGTGAGGTGAATGGTGTGCCCAGGTAGCAGAGGGGCCGCACTGAGGTGTGCACCCTGCCAACCCACTGCAGGCCCACTCCCTGCTCCCGTGTCCTCCTAGGCTGTGGACAAGGCCAGGTTGCTGTGCCAGCTGTCATGTGCTTCTCAGGGCCCACCTCCTCAGGGCACCATCTTGCCCTTAACGTGTCTCTTCCTGGCCAGGGCAGTGGGTGGTGAGCACAGGATTTGCTCTCAGCGCCCAGGTGCTGCAGCCCTGCCCTTTTCGGGGCCCCTGACCCACCCTTGTGGCCAGACCACGTGAGGGACAGGAGGGAGACTGCACATGCCCAGGAGTTCTTGAGACGTCCCCATCCGTCCTCGGTCCCCCAGGGGCCTCTCAGTGCAGACTTCTTGAAACCCACCCAGCCGCTAGGTCATGCACACATCCCTGGTGGCACGGGCTCGTGAGTCCCCCAGAGGCTGCCCTGAAGTTGTGGGATCAGCTGTGAAAACGCCCCCTCTGACTTCACTGTAGAGAAAGGTGGCAGTAGGGAGTGGAGGTCAGGCGCCCTCAGTGTTTGTTTTGTTGACACAGGTCTTTGTCACTTTGAGTCCTTTGTGTTTCTTCAAAAGGTTCCCGTTACCACCTTGTGTCTTTCACGTGTGTCTTTGTACACGTGTGTGTTTGCTCCTGAGGGTGAAGCCGGGGGTTCACGGTCTCTGCTTGCTCCTTCCAGGTGCTGTTTCTCGATCACCCCAAAAAGCAGACCCGGGACACACAGAAGTACAAGCCTTTCAAGCGCCAAGTAAACGTAGGTGGCTCCATGTCCCACTCACGTCCCTACCTGTCCTGGCCCCTGGCCCACACGTGCTGGGCGAGTGTGTCTTGCTGGTCCCGGGCCTTAAATTGTAAGCTCGGAAGACCACAGAGTTCCGCCTTCTGCCTGCGCGCTCAGCTCCATGAAGCTCTGTGTATTGTCCTGACCCCGCCTCTGACAGCATGGCTGAGTGGCCCATGCAGCCCCCTCCTCGCCTGGTGGTGGAGCTGGGGGACAACTCCAGTGTCCCTTTGTGTCACTGCCCACGTGACGGGTGGCTGCAGCCTAATGGCGCCAGGTGCTTCTATCAGAAGGCGACCTGAGGGGCTGGTGGTTGGGGCTCTCAGCAGGGCCACCCTGTTCAGGTGCAAACTTGGCCCTGTGTGTCCCCATCTCCCCTCCAGAGTGGTCGTCCGTCCCTGAAGCTGTTGTCAGAGAAGATCCTGGGCATCACAGTGCAGCAGTCGGAGCACTGCTCGGTGAGTGTCCTGGGTCACAGCCGGGACCTGACGGGCCAGGCCTGAGCTAGAGGGAGGGAGGAGAGGCCTGTCCGGAAACAGATGCCCAGCAGGCTTCCAGGAGGTCACAGGAACTCAACTGTAACCATGGGGTTGGAAGACAAGGCTAGGTCACCAGTGTCCACTGAACGCCCTGAGGACTGTGCAGCCCAGCCAGCTGACCCCTCCTAATGGACTGGGGACCCACTCCCCTCACCCAGCCTGCCTTTGGTCTTGAGCTCTCAGGCCCCCCTGCCTGTCTCTGGCCATGGGGCTGGCCCTTGGAGAGGACCCCATGTTTAAGGACACATAACAGCATGGTTGTGCTGGTCAGTCCCCATTCCTGTCCTTCCCCACAGAGTCTCAGATCAGGTTGCTTGTGCTGTCCGTGTGGCATTAGCTCCACTGGCCTGTCCCGGGCTCCCTGACACGGTCACAGCCTTGTCTTTGTCCCCAGGTTCAAGATGCCCAGGCAGCGATGAGGCTCTATGTCATGGTGAAGAAGGCATGGGAGGGTACTGCCAAGAACAGACAGGTGGCCAGTGCTGCCCCAGACAGTCGCCACACCTAAAACCCCCGTGCTGGGGCAGCGCCGGGACCAGATCACTGGATGAGCCATCCACCACGGGCAGCTCTGCGACCATGCTGAGTGACTACTGCAGTGCCTCGTGGACTGTCTCCTTTACACTGTCAAGGCGGGTGGTCAGGATGGGGCGATGGCCGCGGTCAGCCGTCTTCTCTGAGCACTGCAGGAGGTGGGACTGCGGGAGTCGCTCACCTGTCACTGTTGATGTGATGGCTCCTTGGGCCATTCCCCTAGGAGCTCCAGGGGGAAGCAGCTCTGGTCACTGGGTCTGTAGTGGTCACATTGGCACTGCCCTGCCCCAGCTTGTGGGACCCCAAGTGTCTTCTTCACCCCCTCCTTGGGGTGAAGCCAGCACCCAGCAGAGGCGAAGCTGCATGCTGACCATGGGAGGGGTAGCGGTGCGGAGTGGAGAGATGACCTCCTAGACCAGCTGCCTCCCCACTCTGTCTGAGGACCTCACCCTGACTGGCCAGCCTGGCTCTCTAAGTCAGGAGAGTTGTCTGACTGGAGCGGTTGAAGCCAGGGCCTGTATCAGGCCACGGGACCACACAAATGTACCCATCACAGCATCAAACATAAAATAAACATTTATGTGTCTACCTGGGTGTGTACAGTCCGAGGTGCACTCTGCTCCCCAGCTGAAGTTGGGGTGAGGTCCCTGTCCAGGACCACACAGGGACAGACACAGTATTACTGAACCCAGCAGAGGGGCAGGCAGCCCCCACACTCCACGCAGAAGCCACCACTCCCGCCACGGCACGGACAGGCTGGCATCTGTGGCCAGGAAGAGAGCGTGGGTCAGCACTGGTCACTCTGTGAGGCTGGGTGGCACTGTCTCCAGCTTCAGGAGGGTCTGCTCTGCGTAGGCAACCAGCTCCTGAGGGGGAACAGTGAGTGAGAGCTCACCCCACGCAGCCCGCAGGCTCTGCGGGGGAATGGCCGGTGTCGGTGTGCCCAGACCTCCAGCCTTCCTGCAGTTAACAGCTGAGTGCCCCCCGAGACACAGGTCTGAGGGCTCCCCGCTCCAGGATTGGTTGGGGCATCATAAACCTGAATTGGGCACCTTTGCACTGAGCCCTGGGACCATGGTCAGCTCCACGTAGGCCTTGGCCCCACCCTGAACCCTGTGTAGACAGGCTGAGCATGGGCAGAGCCCGCTGGACCTGTCACTCACCAGGCTGGAGGCGAAGCGTTCCTTGATCTCCTGGACCAGGGCCAGGAAACCGGTGGATACCAGCTCTGGCAGGATCTCCTCTGTGGGCAGAGAGGGCTGTGAGCTGGGCCTGGCTGCTGTGCTCCCCTACCCGGTCCTGCTCTCAGACCTGCAGCTAGGTCAGAAGCAGCTTCATGAAAGGCTGGGATGGGCGCCTGGCTTCCTGGGTGTGGGAGGAGAGCGAGTGGGGGCCACTGGGGGGACTCCTATAGGACCTGGGTGGGAATGGTGTTGGGAGCCACAAGGGAACACATTAGATACTGGTCAGGTGTGGGTATGGGTACCCACAAGGGGCTCATACCATAGGAAGGGATGGATGTGCCAATGTGGGGGACATAGGGGTGTTGGAGCTGGAAGAGGGGGCATCAGAGGTCTGACTGAGCTGGACGGGCGTGAGTGTGGAGGAGAGGGACATGGGTGGGAGTGCAGGAATGGAAGGGGTCTCACCGAGCTGGGTGGGCATGACATGAGGGGCAGAGGGGGTGTCTCACTGAGAGGGATGGTGTGAGTGGGGGGGTGGAGAGGCCAGGGCTGATGTCTCACCGAGCTGGACGGGTGTCTGCACGTGAGGGGACCAGGGGTGGCGTCTCACCGAGCTGGACGGGCATGAGTGGGGACACGGGGCGCTCACTGAGCTGGACCGGCGTGGGGGACACGGGGCGTGAGTGGGGGAATGGGGCGTCTCACCGAGCTGGACGGGCGTGAGTGGGGGACATGGGGCATCTCACCGAGCTGGACGGGCATCAGTGGGGGGACATGGGGCATCTCACCGAGCTGGATGGCGTCAGTGGGGGACACGGGGCGCTCACTGAGCTTGACGGGCGTCAGTGGGGGGGCACGGGGCGTGAGTGGGGACACGGGGCGCTCACCATAGGCGCTGAGATGAGACAGCAGCATGCACACGCTCTCCACCACCTCCGGGGCGTCCTTGTTCAGCTGGTATATCTCCTGGAGGAGCTTGAGGCCACTGCCAATCTCCTCAGGCGGCATCACCACCTGGAAGGCCGCCATCTCTGGGAGGGGACAGGTGATGGTGACCAAGTGCCAGACTTAACTTGTGCCTCAGGGGCCCAGCCTGTGGTGCCAGCATCCCCAGCTTCACCCTGGGTGCGTGTACAGGGACAGAGCTCGGTGGTGAGTGGCCAGTGAGCACTTGACATCGACCCTAGGTGGACATATGGGTGCAGACTGCTGGGTGCCGGGACCCGCCTGCACCCCCTCATGAGTGTATGCTGAAGTCTCGGGGGACACGGTGCATGTCTTCTGTCATCGAGTTGAGTGGGGCCCTCAGCCCCTTCCTGTCCCACATGGACTGCTATCCGGGTCCTTGCAGCGGGCCCTGGGACACAACCACCGGGCCCAGTCATGTGGGAGGCAGGACCCAGACCTGGCTGCCCAGCCCCTAAGCCCATCCTGTTGCCTATAAACACCCCCGCAAGTGGTGGAGACAGGGCCGGGCAGAGACAGGCCCCAGGAATGCTGCTCACCTTGGGAGCCCAGGACCCAGCAGGCAGCCTGGCGTAGGCTCCAACAGGGCACCAGAAGTGGACAGTGCAGAAGCAGGCCCCATCCCTGACCTCAGAGGTGTCACACTAATTATCCCATGGTGTCACACGTGTTCTGGGAGTTGAGTGCTGGAACAGCGGGCCTAGGGGCTGGCAGATGAAGTGAGGTGCCGTCGGGGTGGGGGTGTGTGCACCGAGCAGCCTGAGCAATGACCAGCCGTCGGGGACGTGTGTCCAGGGCCCAGTGGCAGCTGGTTGGCGGGGGCGTCCTGCCTCGTGTACCTGGAGGTCTGAGTGCAGCCCCACCCCCCGGCGGCCAGGCCCTCACCGGACGTCTTGACGAGGCTGGCCAGCCCACGGCACGCGTTATTGACCAGCAGGACCCGGTCCTGACACAACTGGACACTCCGGAGCAGCAGCACCACCACCTTCTCCAGCTGGTGCTCCTCGATGCAGCCTGTGCAAGACACTGTCCCTGCGTGTGGCCTGGGACACCCACGGGCCCCACTGCCCAGCGCCCACCAGGCCACTCACCCAGCAAGGACAGCAGCCAGAAGACTGCGCAGCCCGCTTCTACCATCTCCACGTCCAGGAAGTAGGTGTCCATCACTTGGGCCACACGCGTCGGGGCCTCATTCAAGGGCGTCTTGTCCACAAGCACAGCTGGAGCCGGAGAGGGAGGGGCGGGGAGCTGGTGCTGGTGCTCAGGGGGTGCCTGCTGTATACACCCCCCACCGCCCCACTCCACCCCTCCCCCATAGCTGGCCTGGTGGGCGGTGCCTACTGTATACACACACACCCCCTCCCACCACAGACAGCAGCACAAGGTTCCCAGGAAGTCGGAAGGAATCCACAGTAGGGGCCCTCAAGTCTGAGGGTGACCTGTCCCCAAGAGGGGCTCAGGACAGTCATGGACAGGTCAGCAGGCGCTCCTGGGTTTTCTGGGCTCCTCATTCACTCGCTGGGATGTGGGAGCATGGACAGGTCTATTAGAAGGCTGAACTGACTCAGAGCTGATGGCCTGCCTTTGTCCCACGGAGCAGCTCCTGAACCAGCAGAGCTCCCCCAGCAGAGGCAAGCGAAACCAGTGCCCCTTAGAGCCAGTGGTGGTGTCCATGGTAGCCTGGCCTTATCCCCAGGGTGTGAGGCCTGGAACGGATGTCCTCTCTGGCTGTCCCTGGCTCCCCCTTTGTGTTCCCTCTGCCTCAGTCAAAACTCTCAGGAAGCCTTGGTGGCTGCGGCTGGCCTTGCAATGTGCAGACAGGATGGGGAGGTGACGGGGGCGGGCGGTAAGGGAGACCCCACCGTCCACCAGGAGGGTCCAGAGCAGCCCCAGGCCGGTGATGCAGATGTCCCTGTTCTCAAGGAAGTCGTCCAGGTACTGCAGAATGTGCTCAAACAGCTCTGCCTTCTGCAGCTGCCCCTCTGTGGACTCTGTGAATGGCTGGGATGAGGACACCATCTCCAGGAAGCCCACCTGGAGCCCTCCTCCCTCCCTCAGTGTCTCTCAGCACTGCAGCCCATCTGTCTCAGAACCCCACTCCTGAGGTAGGGGGAGAGAGCACCCGCCATGGTCTCCCTAACCCCCAAAACCCGGGCTGGCTACTGTGCTGCAAGTGGGGACCTGCCTCCACCTCCCAGGAGGACTGAGTGGCCAGTGCTTCACCCTAAGACGCCTGTGGGTGCCCACAGAGACAGGGCGGCTTGTCCAGACAGAAGGTTACTGGTCACATCCAAAGCGGGCCAAATCGCCCTCCCCAGGACCGACGCCCGAGTCCCTCTCCGAGTGCCCACCCTGGCTGGAAATGATGGTGAGCAGACTGTAGCCCATGACGACAAGCTCCTCCGAGTCAGGGTGGCACCGCATGATGCCCAGCAGGGAGGCCACAATGGTGCTGCTGCAGGGCACCTCGGCGTCTGGGTCCTGCACCAGCGCTGAAAGGGCGGGGGGGGGGGGGGCGGGGCATTCACAGGGAGCCGGGAACCAGCCCAGCAGAGAGCGAGGGAAGGCAGGAATGGGAGGGAGAAGAAAGGCCTTGGCAAGGTGGGGCGGTCAGGCCCAGGCAGGCCCGGGGAGGTGGGGGTGGTCAACCCCAGGGAAGCTGAAGAGAGGCAGGGGCGTGAGCCCTGGGGAGGTGGGGAAGAGGCCTGGGGAAGGCAGGGGCGTCAGCCCCATCACAACTGGACTCTCAGCTGGCCCCCTCCAGGCTGGCTGTCTCCACTGGGGCCCAGCCCCACTACACTGGCAGCCTGGCCAAGTATGGCTTTACCCTGCACCCAGAGCCTTGTCCTACTATTCCACCTGCCCAGGTCACCACCTGCCGGGACATCAGGGATGTGAGGCCATGTCAGCTGTGAGCACCTTTCACATTCACGGATTCTCTGCGGGATGGAGGCGTCATCTTCTGAAGCAGTGCCTGCTGGACTCAGGCAGACGAGGCCTCTCACTCCACAACGAAAACGGGGAGACCTTTCCTACAGTGGAGCAGGCTCCTGACTTCTGCTCTCCCCCTCCACCCTGTAGACTCTAGGCTGTCCCTCTGGCCGCACTCGGCCCCTCTGCCACCCTTCCTCAAGCATCTCCTCTGTGAGCTTCACTCCAAGGACTCTGTCTCCTTGGCCACAGGGAGCAGACACAGGCTGGAATCCTGTCCCCTCCATCATCTAGAGACTGGTAGAGGACAGGGCCCAGTGGGGAGGCAGAGCAGTTGTAGGCAGGACAGGATGGGCACAAGGGATTAGCAAGGTGGAGATGCGGGCAGGGTAGGAGGTGGAGTGTGGACGGGAAAGCAATAGCCCACCTTGTCCGAGAACCCGCAGCAGCAGGGAGCAGCCGCATAGTTGCAAGGCCAGGACCCGATCATGCTGCTTCAGGGCCCCAATCACCATCTCCACCATCGCTATTGGCCACGGCACACCTGTCGGGCAGGGCACCAGGCCAGCCTTAGCAGAGGGCCCAGTGGGAAGGGGCACCTACAGGGTGTGACAGATGGCACGATGAGCCAGGGCCAGGATCGTCTTAGGTAATCTTTCCCACATGCAGGTTAGGGACGTCTCTGTTACTGTCCCCATTGTACAGAGGAGAAAACTGAGGATCAAAGGTCAGGGCATTTGCTCTTGCAGGATGTGAGCTGGGCCTGCTTGCAGCCACCCTGATTCCAGAGTCCTGGAGTCCCCAGTCCTCTGTGCAGGGAGCAGGCAGCATGAGGACACACAGCCTCTGCCGTCCAGCCTCAGAGAAGGGCTGGCTGCCGGGTCCGCCCGGGAGAAGCAGTGCACAGGGTCTCTACCTAGTTCCTCGTCAGACATTATCAAGAGTCTCTTGATGGCTTTGAGTTGGACTTCGGGCCGGCTGGAGAAGTTCTGCAGGACCTCTGCGGGAGACATGGGGCATTAGGGTGCCATCCATGTGCCCCTGCTGGTCACACGCATGGCACACAGACCCTCCTCACACCCCAGTCAAGCCACGGCTCTTTACTCCATCCCAGGAGTGTGGCTGGAATCCACGTGGGAATGTGTCACGTTAGAGGTCGTGTTGTGGGTTCTGAGCCAGTCAGCTCTGAGATCGAAAGACTGCTGGTGAGGACAGAGGAGTAAGCAGGAATGACACAGGGGAGATGCCACCCCAAGAAGATCACCAAGGACTTAAGACTGTCCCCCTGGAGCTGGCACCCCAAATTCAGACTTCAAGCCACCTCAGCTGAGAGAATGCAAGTCTGTCTGTCTGTCTGTCTGTCTAAGGCCCTCTTTTGCATGATTTCCTTTAAGCAGCACATAACCAAGATAGAGAGTCAGGTCCTGGGAACAGAGGCTGCTCTAACAGGTACCTAAAATGTGGATGTGCTTTTGGAATTGGACAGGGCGTGGGGACTGGGTGAGTTTTAAGTTGTCAGTCTGGAGTCTTAAGGTGCGTCTGATATAGGCCATGGTCTTTGCAGTCACTTGCTAAGCATCAGAGAGCTGGACAATGACTAAGAATGAGAGAAGGAGAGTTGATGCCTTTGAACTGTGGTGCTGGAGAAGAGTGTTGAATATATCATGGACTGTGAGAACAAAGAGGTTCATCCTGGAGAGGATGAGACCAGTCTGCTTCTCGGAGGCAAGGATTCTGAGGCTCCGTCTAACATACTTTGGACATGTTCTAAGAAGGGACAGGTCCTTGGAGAGGGACATCAGGCTTAGGAGTGTGGAGAGACAGTGCAGGAGGGGAAGACCCTCTATGAGATGGATTGATTCAGTGACTGGGATAATCGGAATGGGTGTGTCAGAGGCAATGCGATTGGCACAGGATAGAGCGGAGTTTAGGGCTGTTGTACACAGGGTTGCTGTGAGTCGCAGGCGACTTGATGGCACATAACAACAATAAGAAAAGTCCAGCTGGCTTGAAGGGAGCTCTGATGGCCTCCCGGGGAAGGACTCCACCAGCTGCTCTGAGGGGAAGTGGCCTCTTGCCACTGACACACAATGGCGGGCAGTTTCCCCTCTGCAAGCCCACCGGCGGGGCAGCTATGAGCCTGTTCCCACGCGATCTCAGTGAGTGAGAGAGAGAGAGGCTGCCTTGGAGAGACCTGGCGGAGTACGAGGTCAAGGGCAAGTCTCCAGAGAGAGGGCTGGCAAGAAGAGAGATGCCTCATGTAGAGTGCTGTGGGGCGGGGTCTGTGCATCAGTTCTGGGAGCGATGGCGGGGCCAGGGCGGGGCCGTTCCCTGGTCGGGGAGCGGACAGTGGGGCCCCGCTGCCCACCAGCACCTAAGATGCTTGCGATGTTGCCTTCCAAGAGCACGTCGACAATGAGTGAGGGCACGGGCTGCTTGTGCATCGTCACGGCCACGCTCGAGGACTTGAAGCCCTTGGTGACGAAGGTGAAGTGGATGAGGTCCCTGCAAACAACAGAGGGAGGCCAGGGCCACAGCCACCCTTCCTCGAGGGTCCCATGCCACTGGCTGGTGGCCTAGCAGCCCCATCTCAGCAGCTCTGCTCCCCACAAGCACCCCGGAAACCACACAGGCAGTTCCTGCCCCACACTCCTGATGGGGGATGGCTCCAGCTCCCCCTTCGGTGCCAAGGACACTGGCTCACCAAAACAACCAAACTAGCCATTCTCGCGACAGGTTCTGCACCATGGCCCCTTGACCACAAGTGCAGCACGTGGTCATGGAAAAGGCTTATGCCTGCACTAACATGAGGCTCTGTGTGACCGCTGGCCTCCCTACAATTCCACACACAGACACACCAGGGAGGGATGGCTGGCCACCGTGTCACTGAGCGCCATGCAGGCTAGGCCACGGCCTTGCTACTTGTTCCTTTTCTTCTGGTTCTGAAGGAAAATGGAGACTTTCCTCTGGACCCTCCCAGTGTCACAGCTCTTGGCCTGGCCTCATGTATCTGCTGGCCATGTGCACAGAGGGACATCCACACAAGAGTGACAGCTGCAGGGGGGCCCGCTGCCCAGGGTGAGTCAGGTCTGTGGCCACTAGGGATGCAGTGGCTACTGTGTGTGTGCTTGTTCCTGCCTGTCCACGTGTGTTCTGTGTCTGCATTAGGTGTGTGTACACATGAGTGCATATGCGTGCTTGTGTAACTGTGGATGGATAGGCATTCGTGGTCTGTGCATGTGTGTGTGCGTGTGTCTTATGTGCGCAGGCCTCTGTGTAGTGTCTGTTCATGAATGTGTGCCTGGGTGTGTGTGCACACATGTCTACATTCATGTTTATGGGTGTCTGTGCACGTGAGTGTGTATGTGGGGGTGCATGTCCGTGCACAAAGGCGTGTGTGTGTGAGTGTGTATGTGGGGGGTGCATGTCAGCGCACACAGGTGTTTGTGCATGCATGTGCATGTGTGTGTGCATGCATGTGAGTGGGGGGGTGCATGTGAGTGTGTGTGTGAGGGGGTGCATGTCCACACACACACACGTGTGTGTGTGTGTGAGTGTGTATGTGGGGGGTGCATGTCCGCGCACACAGGTGGGGGGTGTGTGTCTGTGTGCGCACACGCGGTGGAAGGAGGGGGACAGGAGGGGCACTGACTCACTTCACGGTGCCCCGGTCCTCGGGGTTGATGTGCAGCATCAGGGGCAGAAGGAAGACCAGCGTGTCGGCGTCGGGGATGCCCCTGTCCTCCAGCTGCTGCAGCACGTCCCGCAGGCCCTTCGGAGACGTGCGGAGAGACTTGCGCAGAAGCATGGCCTCCTCGTCCTGACGGACGGACACAGACAGGATGAGGACAGGCTCAGGACGAGAACTGTGCACGATGACGTGGATGTGAGATCCCATCCGGTCAGGGCTGGGGTGGGGACCTGGGTGCCCCCGTCCCATGCCCTCATTCCTTCCAGTGTGACAGAGACGTGGCCCCGACCCCTCACCTCTATAAAGGAGCAGCTTGCCATGTCCAGAAGGATGCAGCCCAGGGACCAGATGTCAGACTTCTGGCTGAAGGAGAAGCTGAGGGCTTCGGGGGCCATCCAGGACTTCTGGAAGGGGTCTGTTGGCAGAAGCAGGTGGGGTGCACCGAGAGACATGGGCTCAGGGACCGCCGCACAAGGCTGCCCTCCCGGAAATGTCCAGTGTCCCTACATACAGCTTAGCGAGCCCTTGGGTGCCCTCTGGTGGAGGAGAGACATGCTGGATGCTGCGTGGGGTCAGCGGGCCTGTCACCAGGAGCCTGGCCCTCTCCACAGGTGCCAGCCAGCTGGTCTGCGTGTGCACACGCGTGTCTGTGTCTTTGTGTGCCTGGGTGGAGTGTGCCCGTCTCAGCAGCGGGGGGTGGTGGCAGGAAAAGGCCTGTCCCAAGATGACGAAAAGGTGGCCCTTCTTCAAATATTTGCCTCACCTAAGTGTCTGGTGGCCCAATGGGTAGGGAGTGAGTCTGTCAGACCAAACGTTGGTGGTTTGAATGAGCTGCTGTGCGGGAACAGGGTGGGCTGTCTCCTCCCAGGAACTTCCAGCCTCTGAAAACCTGGGAGGGTCCGCTGGGAGTCAGTTACGACCCAGCAGCACTGAGGGCTCTTTAAGTGTCAAAGCTCCAGCTGCCCTAGATTCTAAACCTGAGCCCCAAAGACCGGGGCTCTCAGTCCAGCTTTGTCCACCTCTGGTGGTCCCAGCCGCAAGTGGTCCATTTAGACTTTGGCTCTGCTCTGCAGCCTCACAGAAAAGGGAGTGACTCCAGGGGCCTTGCCCGCCGGGTCTCTAGGGACCCACATCCAACCAGCCAGCCATCTATCCAACTGTCCACCCTTCCATACCCCACCCACCCACTCATACGTCCCCCTACCAATGCCCCTGTTCATTCACCTCACCATCGAGCCACCAACCCGCTCACCTGCCCATTTATCCATCCTTCCTTCCATCCATCCTTCTACCACAGACAGGGCCACCAGCCCCTGCTTCCTCAGGACTCTGGACTTCCCTGTTCTGACAGCCGCTAACAGGCTTGAAGCCCCGTGGCCTGCTAGCTCTTTAGGAAGGGGACTTAGCTCGCCTTGTCCCCACCTGTCCCATCTCCTGATGTTTTAGGACCCAGTGAAGTGATGTCTGCCCAGCAGGGCCTGGCATACGCTGGCCCTCGGTCAGCACTGGTCATTTCCGTCTCTGGTCCCCTCGTCCCTCACATGTGTTAACCGCAGCCTTATTGCTCTGAGCTCTCCCAGTGTCACCAGCTTTTGGACCCACACCTGCCCCCTGTGGTGATGTCCTGTTCAGGTACAACCAGACCGGGGATCTCAGGAGCCCAATCCAAGCTGGGGCCCACGGGGATTTAGAGAATGGAGAGTAATACTTCCTTTCTTCAGCCTCCCCTGGCCCCGTCACGCCCCGACCACCCAGCTGCTGCTCAGCCACCTTCCTCTGCTCGGATGTTCCACTTGGCCTTGTCGGTCATGAGGGTGTTGGAGCTCAGGTCCTGCAGCTGGCTGTGGTTATCGTTGACCAGGACAATGTTGGAGGGCTTGAGGTTCCTGGAACCGAGAAGCGGTGCCGCTGCTGGGTGCTCCCAGGCGCACCTTCCCACCACGTCTAGGTTGCTCTGGGGGTGGGAGTCCAGGAGGGCCTCCAGACAGTGAAGGGTGGGGGTGGCTGGGCTCACGTGAACTCGAGGGAGGACCTTCTCCCTGCCCACCCACCCCAGGCATGCAGGAGCAGCCCACCCGTCCCCTCCTCTCAAGGAAATGTCCCCTTTGCAGCCCACTGTTGAGAGAATGGTTTCCTACAAAAATGTAATAGTTTTAAATCTGGAAACAACAACAAACCCAGAAACTACAAGTAGGAAAAGGTCCCAGGGTTTCCCTGTTAACATCCAGGCTCCTCTTCACTGAATGTTGGGGGCAAGGAGGGGAGAATGGGGGCTGAATTTAGAGAGTGTTTCTACATGTCCAGGGACACTTCAGCCAGTCACCAGATTATCGAGGTGACCAATAACTCTCCTTAGCACAACCAGTCACACAAGATCACAAAGACAACACGTGCCCAAGGAGTAAACTCAGAAAATGGGCAGGGAGAGGCTGGCAGGATGAGTGGAAACAGGAATCCCAGGGAGGAGGCGGGAGGAGTGCTGTCACGTGTAGGATGACAGCTTATGCAAATAGCAAGAGCTCCCCCAGTCATTGTTTCAGGGAAACCAACTGCTCTGTAAACTCTCAGCACAATTTTTAAAATAATGAGAATTATTAAAATAAGGAACTCCAGCAACATCTGCATTGACTCCTGAACTTGTACCTTTGCCCCTTTCTTGGTGCCTACAGCACCTCCATCAGCTAAGATGTGAGTGGGGGCCACTACCCAGCCCATGTCGCCCGCCCCCGCAGACCACCTCTCTGGGCGGTGCTGTCCCACAGCAGGACTGAGGCCACAGCTACACCGTGGTTCCCCCCACACACACACTCCATGTTCCGTAGGAAAACCTACCCTGGGAGTGTGTGTGCACAGTGTGGAAGCATGGGGGGATCTGTGGAGGGGTGCAGCCCCGTGTCCCCAGGTGTGCCTCTCACCTGTGCAGGATGCCCTGCTGGTGCAGGTACTCCAGCGCGTCCAGCACCTGGCCCAGCACATTCTGCATCCACTGGGGAGGAAGCGGGGTGTGGATTGGAGGGGGTCTCGGGGCCCTGATGGCACAGGGTGTGACACGTTAGAGGTGGTTCGAGCTCCCAGGAGCTGCTCCGACGGGTCAATACGAGTAGTGTCGTCTAAGATTTGCAGCCTCGGAAAAGCTTTGTCTTCACGCGAACGACAACAAACCAGGGAAAGAGTGTTTATGCTCAGAAACCTGAGAGAGGGTCCCCGTGAGGCAGGATCAACTTGAAAGTGGTGGGCTTTGGTTTTTGAGAAACCTGGTGGTGTTATAGTCAAGTGATCGGCTGCTAACCAAAAGGTGAGCGGCTCGAACCCACCCAGAATCTCCCACACAGAAAGATGGGACGACCCGCAGTGTTTCCGGGTGAAGAGAACCCAAACTTCCTGCTGTGGCAGGCTGGTCTTGACACCCACCCGGCAGGGCAGGGCAGGGCAGGGCAGGGCAGGGCAGGCCCCACCCCCCGAACCCCCTCCGCACCTGATGGAAGGTGACTCAAACAGCTTCCTTGGAGGAGTAGCTGGGGCCTGGCTGATCTCTCCATTATCAGCAAGCACTTAAGCCAAGTCACCACCAGGACATGCTGATTCTGAGCCGTAAATGTCAACGGGAGGAGGCTGCCCCATTTCTCTGTGGAGCAGCCGTAGGTTCAAATGCTGGCCTTTCAGTTAGCAGCCCAGACACTTAATCCACCACACAGCCAGGCCCTACTGGGGGACGCTCCATCACGAGACACCCCAGCTTCCAGGAGTGTGACTCCCCAGGGCTGCCGTCAGGTGGCTCCACTCAGGTAGCCATTCCCTGGGGCCCGGGGCTGCTCCTTACAGATGGGGAGCCCCCACCTCGGCTCTCAGCGCCCCACACACTCTCTTCCAGGGGACCGTGGGCACGTATCTGCCCCAGCCACTCCGAGGCCTTCACTGCCCAGCACCTGCCCCTATCAGCTGTGGGTATTAAAGATTATGACACCTCGCGCTTGCCTGTTAACATCATTAGACCGAAAAGAGCCCCGAGAGAATATTCTGGAAGAATTTTGTGTCAGAAACAAGACTCATCCCATTTCCAGGGCGGTTGTTTTCAAACAGTGTTCCTAGGAGGCCACCAGGTGTCGGTGCGGGCTTTCTCCCGCCTCATGGAACTTCCCAGGATCCTGAGGAACAGTTAGAATTTTAGAGTTCCATCACTGTCAGAATTTGGGGACCCACTTGAGAGCCTGCCTTAGGTGGAAGCAGAGCTGTGGGCCCTTCAAAACCTGCAGTGGGGGCCTGGAGGCAAAGAAGTGTGCCCTGGGTTGAAGCACACGCCCTCTTTACAGGGTAGGAAGCAAGATTTAACTGTGAAAGTGATCGCTTCCAGAAGGCCACAGAAGAGCTGAAGAGCAGCTACATGACCCTGGGGCAGGACAGATTCCTCCAGACAGCACGCCCCCAACCCCCAGCCACATCACCCACAAGACAAAAGACTGAATTGGACTTCATTAAAATAAGACGTTCTGCTCATCAAAAGGCATCGTTAAGAAAGAGAATCAGTATGAAGAATGCAGTTTCAGTTAATTAATGTCCTAAACCAAGATGTCTGTGGATGGTCAACTGGAAAACCAATTTGTTTGGTAAACTCAAATCACCTTAAAAAGTGTGCATGGTGGGGGAACATCCAGATACAGTCATGCTGAAAGAGAGAGAGAGAGAGAAAGGGAGGAAGGGAGAGAGAAAGAGAGAGAGAACGCGGGCATCTAAGCCACAGATTTAGGACCTTATACCTGCATTAGGCAGATGACACAACCTTGATTGCTGAAACTGAGGAGGACCTGAGGCATTTGCTGCAGAAGGTCAAGGACTGCAAGCTTCAGTACGGATTGAAGCTTAACATCAAGAAAACAAAGATTTTGTTTCACCACTGGGCCAGTTGGTAGCTTCATGATAAATAGAGAAGAGATACAGCAGTCAGGAAATCAAAAGACGAATTGCTTTGGGAAAGTCCACTGTCAGAGACCTCTCTAGAGTACTGAAGAGCAATTATGTCAGTCTGAAGACTAAGGTGCAATCCAAGCCATGGTCTTCACAATTACTTGCTCTGCATCAGAGAGCTGGACAATAACAAAGGATGATAGAAGGATTGAGACCTTTGAGCTGTGGTGCTGGAGAAGAGTGTCGAACATACATACCATGGACTGCCAGGAGAACAAACAGGTACGTCCTGGAGAGGGTGAAACCACACTGCTTCCTGGAGGCAAGGATCTTAAAGCTCCGTATCACGGACTTTGGGCACATGGCCAAGAGGGACCAGTTCTTGGAGAAGGACATCATGCTTAGAAGGGTAAGGGACAGCGCAGGAGAGGAAGACCCAAGATGAGATGGATTGACTCAGTGACTGGAGAGAAGGAATTAGGTCTGTTGGAGGTGATGGGACTGGCTCAGGACAGGGCAGGGTTCAGAGCTAATGCACACAGGGTCGCTGAGTTGCAGGTGACTCGAAGGCACATGACAACCTGGCAGCTGTGTGATCTTAATTACAGAAGATTATCAACACATTTTTCAGGTCACAAGGTTTTCCTCAAAAAAGGTGTTGCTACTGTTAAATACCTTATTTATCTATAACGGCAGGGGTGGTAGGGGTGGTAAAAAACCCTACTATTTTAAAACAGAGACGCTGGAAGGAGTAAAATTCTGTAAGTTTGTATGAAAATGAAACTGAAATAGGAGCTAGAATAAATTTTTTTTAATTTTTTTTTTTAATTTTGTGTGTGTGTACCGTCAAATCAGATCTGACTGGTACAGAAGGAGACTGTCCCTGCTTCTCCAGCAGAGCATCTGGTGGATTCGAACCACACGAACACATGACAGTAAGTCACAAAAATGGTGGGGGAAATGTGATAGATAAAAATAAGCCATCAATAAAAAGGGGCAGGGGAGTGATAGTCCGGCAGCACTGGGCTAGGGTCCTGCGAGCTCAGCTCCAGGCACTGTAAAGCCTACATCAGTACGAGAAAGATAAATAGCCCGATTTGTAAAACAAGCACATGGCTTGAGCAGGCACAAAAGATGACAGCCACAGGGTCAAAATGTGCTCGCCCTTAGCTCCTCAAGGAAGGGCAAACTGAAGTTGAAAAATGACACTGGGAAGCTCTGACAAGGACGTGAAGCACCTGGCATGCTCATGACTAGCCAGCCAGCTCCGGAGAGTGAGCAGAGTGCCCAGCACTAGGTGTGTGCCCAGTTACAACCCAGCAATGCCACTCCCAGCTCTTCATCCAGGAAGACTACTCGTCGTGATGCACCAAGACATGTAGCTGCATGTGCTCATAGCTGCCTCGTTCACAGTCATCAGAGCCGGAAACAACCCCGATGCCGACCAACGCTAGAGCAGATGAAGAAATGAAGCATATTTGTCCAGCGCAGCGGTCCCTCGTAGGGAAATGGACAGGTGGCTGATACACACACAGCATGGGCAACACTCGAAAGCATTAGGGCAGAAAGACACCAACCCAAAAGAGCACACTGGACATCCAGGGTGACCTTGCTGACATGATGGGCAAAATCAGGAAGAACCAATCTGTGTATTGTGGTGGAGGTGGAGGAGGTGGTGGTGGAGGTAGTGGTGGTGGACGTGGTGGTGTTGGTGGTG